TAGCTTTAGCGTTAGCCCCGATGCTATCACCATATACATGTATTAGCTCAGCGCTACACATGAAAAGATACAGAACTCCAAATTGGACTGTTGTGGATTTTTAAATACTTTGTTTTTATTTCTAGTCTCACATAATCAGTAATATTATCTGTAAAATACCAAACAACTGCATTTACAACAACAACTTGATAGAATTTCTGAAATTCTGTTATGGATATTTTTTGGTGTGCCACAATGGTCCCCTCACAAAAGAAAATCACTGACTGTCCCAGTTTTTTAACTCTTGAATAGGTCTGCATTTTCCCAAGAACATGAGCTTATCCTTTTTCTGCTGCTTCCTTTTCCACTATGACTGACTATATTTAGAACACTATCAATCACGTAGCATCATCGGATCAGGCCCCGACTTGGGAGTCCTTTTTTGGCGACAAGAGGAATCTTTAATCCTGATCTTGCTGAAGTCTGGCTAGAAACACCTGAAAACTCAAACAATCTTGTTACAGTTGAAACTGATGCTTAGCCGTTATGAGTCCTCTTGTATGCCTTGCACACACACACACACACGCACGCACGCACGCACGCACGCACGCACGCACACACACACACACACACACACACACACGCTCAAAGGACAGCAGCAGGTGGTGTGAAATGCCAATGCCAGATTCCGAGTGTGAGCATAAGGACAGGTCAGCTCACGCTCAGCTCTCTCTGTTCGCTTCCACTCAACACTCCCATGGTTGTCCAAAATTGTGGCGTCAAAGCAACTGTAAGGAATGGGAGGTGCACGGCAGGGCAGCAGCTTTATTTATGACCTGGCGCTCTGCAAATAGGCTGCAATGACGTGCAGCCAAGTGGGTGGACTTTGAGGTCCTGACATGAGTTGATCCAGTTTTTTGGCAGAACATTCAGACGGACATAATCGTTATGTGATCATTCTGAGGATTAGCAGATTTAAAATGTGTTGATTTGCTTCAAATTTTAGTAGACAAGGGTGGTTAGATGTTTTGAAGTGACCAAGATCCATCAAGAAATGTTTGGGCATTTCAAATTGTGTTAGGTGAGGCTGTGTGGAAAGACTATGAGCAGCCAATATCTTACCTGTTAAGCATAGCTCTTTGAACAACCTCAGTTTAGAGAAATAGTTTAGTTTTGTCCTAATGAACAAACTAATGGCTGTTCAAATCAAGGTCAAGACCAAAGTGGACTACTGCAGTCATTAAACAACATGCCAAAAATGTCAAGCAGTTTATGAAAAGTATATCATATAAACATTTCCACTGTCATTAATTTCACATGACATGGTTATTTACATACAATGCCATGGTTCTTTTGCAAGTCATCAGTCTGGTCAGACATTAATTATTATTCCAACTGAGATCACTCAAAGAATGATCTATAACAAGTAAAATATTATTTTTACAGAGCCCCGATCCAAAAGTTTTGAATGCTGCCTTTAAACAATTTGTATTCACTAATGAACACCTAAATATAACTCAGACCTGCTCTTAAAAACTTGACTTTGAACTGAACTCCAGACCAGAATGGATATAATTTTTGACCAGTGACTCCTGCTTGTGAAAGCCGATCAGCTGAAATGACCTACAAGAAGTGACCTGTTCTTAGCGTGACTTCCCTCTGCTTTCAAGGGTTTCCTTCAACCCCCCCCCCCCCCCCCCCCCCCCCACACACACACACACACACGCATGCTGCTTGTCTCAGAAATCACTGTAAGCCTATAGATCTGTAATGGACCACTGATCCCCTGGTTGTATTTCATTCAGGGTTAAGAATAACAAGCTTAGCAGCTTTATAAAGAGGGTCTGACAGAAAGACTTCTCTGTACACAGGATTTACAGAACAATAGTCCTTGACCGGTTTGATAGCCATTTATTTAATCTGCTTGGGGTGGCACTTGTTCTATGGTCATTGCCACTGAAGTCAACTCACATGACATTAAAACCAACTATTTAATGGTACTTTTATTTTCTTCAAATGCTATTACCAGATAAAAGAAATAAAAAAATGTTTCTTTATGTCATTAAAAAGCTGTTCAACATAAAAAAAACAAGCCTGTCAGATACTCAAGTTGCTTCCTAACACGTCCACATGTATTAGGAGAACACACAAACATGCCCAGACACACACAGACACACCCATGTTTATTTAGGCTACTTAAACAAAAAAAGGGCCATAAAAAAGGATGATCACAGGATGTTTGGACCCTTCATTTGGTCCATGATAGTACAACGACATAAAAAAAGGTCATGTTCTATGTTCTTCCTTTCTTAATATGAATGAAGTGAGAGACAGGTGTCTGTGTTTTAACATACTTGCTGAATATTTTGTGTTCTCGTGGCTCTGTCACGTTTTGGCCCTTGCTGAAACTGTGAACTGTCTCATAGGAGCTTCATAAATAATCTGTTATATAACACACTATTCCTGTACTTGTGTTGAGAGCAGCGAAAGCAGACACGTTTCGTTTTGCAGCCTTCAGCCAGACATTTGGACCTGCAGACTTTTAACAGTCTTGTGTCACTCAAACACCCACCCACGCACATACAAAAAAAAAAAAAGACACACTCTCTCAGGCCACCTAATTCTTAGAAACTAAAATTAACTGTTTTTCCAACAGCCTACACATCCATTTCTATTTTTATGTCCGTCTCTGTTTTATTTTTTCCATCTTATGTGTAATGTTTGCCACGTTTCAGTGACAGTGCTTAAAATACTGAGCTCACTAAATTAAATGAGATTTATTTTTCCTTAAACAGTCTGTGGTACCTGAATGGAAACTACCTGGTCATCATGGTCTCTGCCAGCGTCATCCTGCCTCTTGCTTTAATGAAACAGCTTGGTGAGTAACAAGAATGCGGCGATCCACGATTACTATTTCTTTAGTTTGTCTCATTGGTTTATTGTGTTTATTTAGAAAAAGTAATAAGCCCCAGAAAACTGTTCAAAGATTTAAGTATCAAGCTCAAGATATACAGAACTTACCCATCCCAGGGTAGACCCTAACCAATTTGGTGCCCTAGGTGAGATTTCAGGTGGCTCCTCTTGCGTAGTTTTCTAAATCTTACTATCAATTTACTTCACATACCACGTTAAACAGTTTTGTCTTTAACATTGGAACTCAGATTATTTAAAGAGGCGATATCATGTAAAATAAACTTCTTTGAGTTTTATATCATGCTATAATGTTATACTCTCATAAAAAACAAGCCCAAAGCCTTGCTCTGACTCATTCATGCATGTTTGAGAAATCCTGCAGCATTTTTAGGCAGCCATGCTGAGGAGCAAAACGACAGGTGGGGACCAGAAACGCCCCTGGGACGTACGTGTCTTTAAGCCGAACTTCCTCATGGCAGAGCGCACCCTGCCCCCCCTCCCCACACACCCCACCCATAACTCCTGCAGGCTCTCCGGTCAAAGTGAAAGTGAAACCTAACTGTCTGCTGAGCTCTCAACATTAGTTCTCACTCATTGAAGCTCTTTTCAGATTAAAAATACCTTTGAGGAAATGTATTTTCAGATGCCAAGTAAACTGCATCATAGCCCCCCCTCCTCCGCGCACACGAGCCCCCACGTG